CCTGCCAGATGTTGCTGGAAGATTGGCACTAACCACTTTGCTTGGAAGGAAATGTGAGAACCAATCCCACAATCCCGTGGGAGCACCTTCAGATAGATTTTTTCCCCCAGTCTTGCTTTCTGTGACTGGAAATGGAGCCTTCAGCAGGTCAAATAACCTCTGGCTGACCATTTGCCATGCAAGCCTGCTCTTAGCAAAATGGCTTAGTTTGGTATTTGCTTTCTTTCTTCTAGAGCAGAGCTAGGAGTCAACTTTTGTGCTGCTGTTATGATGTTTCCCTGTCCCCATCTGATTTTAATGCTGGCCTGTCCTTAATTCTTTCACTATTGAAGCTTGGCCTCAATAAAAACTACAACTTTGTGCATAGAGGGCTCTGCCTTGAAGCTATAACATCTGGTTAGCTTCTTGCTGCCAAAAATTACGTCTGTGTGGCAGTTGGATGGTTTTAGGAACCGTTAAAAAAAAGCACTAAATAGAAAGAATGGTCACTGCTAGTTAGAACAGCTGCAGCAGACTGCTGTGGTCAAGTGACTTGGTGCAGCGGTTCTGCGACCAGGAGAATGAAGAATGAGCTGTAGGCTAAGTGGAGCCATTTTTGTGAACAGCCACCTGTTTGGTTGCAAGTAAGCCTGGCCTCCAGGCATGGATTATTTTTTTTTGTAAACTGGAAAGCAGCTGGTTTTTATTTATCATTAGGGCTGCTGATTACTAAAACAGTGAAAAGGTAGCAAGGGCTCTGCGAATTTGTGAGACTGAAATCGCCATCCAAAATGTTTCCAGGCACCTCTTTATTCCTCTGTGGTCTCTAAACAAGCAAAGGAAATGCAGTTTCCTTGTTCATTTTCCAGCAATCCAGCAGCAGTCCTTCCTATGGACATTTATAGTGCAATCCTATATAGAGTTAATACCAGTCTAAAAGCAGTGTGTGTCATTTGTACTTGAAAGTATTACTACTTCCTGTTTCCATTATTTGTGCTTCTGTCAGGTCTTGGATGCAGTCACTCTCACCACACTCTTGTGTCAGCAAGATTTGTTTATTGAGAAGTGAAACAGGTTCCAAGTGTAGCCATGTTCTGTGTCAGAACTAACACTCAGGTGTCAGGACAGAACCTATATACTATGCAGGACATCCCCCCTAAAGCACACTATCCAATCACTATCCGCATTCAACCCGCCAAAGATCCAAACTTCCCCAATACACCGCCCCCACACCTGCTACTAGCCTTTGCAGTATCTAGAAATTCCCTGCCCCCAAAGTCGAAGTGGGTGCTGAGATCATGCATTTCCCAGGCACTGAGTAAGCCATCACTCACACACTCACATCACGCCCCCCCTTTAGCCAGAAGGATAAACAGCCTAGAGAAGGAAAGAGAAGCAATTAACCCTTGAGGCCAGAGAGTCCATGACAACTTGGCTTGACTAGTGTGAGACTTAAGCTGCAAAAAAACCAACAACCCACCTGTTAAAGTTTTTTACACTGTTAAAAACTGTACCTGAAATATTACTATTAAGTGGTGAACTCTGGGGGGCATGGCATCGACGTTGAGGAAGATGGCTGCCTAAGGGCAGAGCTCCATCCACCCTTCCCTCCCAAACTTCATCCATCGTCATTTCAGCTTACCATATCATGAGCAAACCTGGGGCAGATACTGTACCATGGAACTCTGCTGCCCACAAAGGTATTCAGGCGTTCTTTTGTAAGCCTAACATGAATAAAGCCTCTGAAGACGACTCTGAGGAAGCTAGCAAAATGGCGACTGAAGAGCCTCCAGTATTCCTGCCTATTTCTCTGCCTGCTGACTTAGCGATTGCAGCGAAGTTTACCACAATGGAACAGAAAATATTAGAAACAATGGCTGGCTTAATTAAACCACTTTCTGAGCAGTTTGCCGAATTCAAAATAGCCCTGAATAATGTCAGTCAGACAGCAGAAAATGCAAAGGATCTGAGCCTAGTACGAAAAGATGAAGTGAACTCTCTTCACAAAGAAAATGGCTTCCTCCGTGAATGCATGTTGAGCCTTGAAACAGCAGTATGACAGAACAACGTTAAGTTTAGAGGATTTTCTGAACAATCAATGATCAACTCTGATCTTTCTATTTGCATAGCAGACTGGTTGGCACGTGAGCTACAACTGGAAGATAACATAGCACCATATGTAGCAGCAGCTTACCGACTGGGCCTCCCAAACAGCACGATGTGCCACCAATGATGGACAGTGCTGAGGTTCTTGTGGAGGAATCAAGCTTACTAATACCTGGCTTGGGGGAATACTGATGGGTTTGGAGATGAGGTTCTCATCCCTGGTTGAGTGTTCAGTTAGATTTCCAGAGAAGCTGACATCGTAAGGGATAGGGAGTCAGCATGGTGTAGTGGTTAAGAGCAACAAACTCTAATCTGGAGAACCAAGTTCAGTCCCTCACTCCTCCACGTGAAGCCAGGTGGGTGACCTTGGGTCAGTCACAGAACTTTCAGAGCTCTCTCAGCCCCCAAAATAAGTCTAGCTCGCCACCTCAAGGCGCATAACGCTAAAAGAGCAAGAACTTAAGGCTGCAAGACAATCTTAGGATCTCCTGGCTATACGACACGCAATGCCATACAATAATAATAATAATTAGTAGTAGTAAGAGATTCCTGAGTGGCTTAGAAGGTCAGATTATAGTCCTGTAAATACAAGCCATTAATCATGGCCTGGGTGTAAGGGGCCTTGGAGAATCAAACAAAGGAGTTTTGATTAAGATATGCCAAAATGCTCCTGGCAGTCAGTCTAGTTCCTCTTTCATTCACATCTTATTTCACATAGTCTGATCATGATTCATTCCCTGGTTTGATATTAGAGATGGCTTCTCTCTGCACCTCTGGCTGCTCAATGCCTGGGGATCTAGGGGAGCTTCAAAATGTGGTTCCTGGTTTTTGTGGGGGGTAACATATAGGGAAAATAAATGAGGACCTGTTTGTGCATTAAGATTTACCTGTCTGATAAATGGAAACTGGGAGAGAAGGAGAGTAGGAATAGTTTCCTAAGCAAAGCATTTGCTCATTTGTGTTTATATGTCATGGTAGTTTTGATATTTATGTTTCTATGGCCTAAGCTGGAGCTCATCATATCTTTCTCCCTTTCTTTCTCCTCTCCCAGTCCTTGCTGCTCTTAGCCCTGGTGGGTGCTGTATTTTTGGGCCTCAACCTGGTCTTCCTTGCTATCTATCTGATTTGCCTGTGCTTCTGCAAAAGAGAGGAAGAGTCCGAAACCAAGAAGTCTAACACCTGCTGCATCACCTGGACTGCTGTGCTTGCTGGCCTCATCTGCTGGTGAGTTCAAGAAAATGGGGGACATGATGGGGAATGTGATATGTGCTACTTCCGCATAGGGTTGCCAATCTCCAGGAGAGGCCTGAAGAAGAGTAGGTTTTTTACCCCACTTTTATCTACCTTAAGGAGTGTCAAAGTGGTTTACCATCAATGCTCCCTCTATGCTGTGGAGTCTTGTGAGCAAAAATTCTACTTTGTGAGCTTCTGGTATTAATTAAACCAGTTAATTAATTAATTAGACTGCCTCATAAATCAGTTTGCTCTCGAGCCATCCTTCCTAAGCTAAGACAAAAACGTGTGAGCCAGAGGCTAAAAAACTGTGAGCTAGCTCACACTAACTCAGCTTAGAGAGGACACTGCTTACAATCACATTCCCTTCCTGTCCCCACAAGAGACATCTTGTGAGGCAGGTGGGGCTGTGAGAGTTCTGAGCGAACACTGACTTGGAGACTGGAGATTTCCCAGGATGACAGCTGACCTTGAGACTAGAGACATCAGTTCCCCTGAAGAAAATGGCTGCTTTTGAGGGTGGACTCTATGGCATTATACTCTTCTCTCCCCAGGCTCCATCTCAGATCTCTGGGAATTTACCAGCCGGGAGCTGACAGCCCTATTCCACAGACAAATTGTAACTAGGTCCTGTAGGAACTATCTTAAGTTAACAGAATCATATATGGTGAAAGCAAGCTCCTCCCTGCAAGCACAGCTTTTGTTGAACAGGCAGCCAACCTCTGTTACCCAGTCTGTGAAGAAAGCCCCTGTAATTGCTGCTGCTGGGTTCTTCTCTCTTGTTGAAGGAGAGGGCTAACCAGGATGTGTCCTCAAGACTGTATACGAGGCTGCACTCAGGGGAGCCATCCCAAATTGGCACAGGCCAGGTAGTTGGACGTTGTTGTTAGGAACATTGCTCAGTGACATAGTGAGGAATCCTTGGGCCACTCACCAGTCTCTCAGAGCTCTCTCAGCCCCACCTACCTCACAGGGGTGTCTGTTGTGGGGAGAGGGAGGGAAAGCGATTGTCAGCCACTCCAAGACTCCTTTGGGTAGTGAAGGGTGGGGTATAAAACCAACTCTTCTTCTTAATTGCTAGGATTGCCAGCTCTGGCTTGGGAAATTCCTGGAGATTTCGGATTAGAACCTGGGGAAGACATACTTGGGGAGGGGAGGGAGCTCAGTGGGGATATAATTCCATAGAGTCTAACCTATAAAGCTGCCATTTCCTCCAGGGGAACTGATCTCTATTGGCTGGAGATCAGTTGTAATTCCAGGAGATCCCCAGCCACCACCTGGAGGTTGGCAGCCTTCTTAACTGCTAACTTTGTGTGTTTTGGTGTTGTTGTTTTTTTAAAAAACCCTTGGAATCTTTATGTGCCAAAAGTCACTGGGTGGAGTGCTTTCCCCTCAGTGTTAAACAGGGCGGCTCCACCAGAGAAGGGGAGAAAATTCTCTTACCTTTTCATTGACTGTTTGCCACAACACCTTTGCTCATTGGAACAGGGTGTTCTGTAGGTGCCAACCTGCAAATGGGCAGAATTAACAACTTCCATGTGCCTTTTCCACTGTGGCCCCCACCTTGTGGAACGGCCTGCCTGGGGGAGGTCAGGAAGGCTCCCACTCTCCTGGCTTTCTGCAAAATATGCAAAACTGAATTATTCAAGAGGGCTTTTCTACACGGGCAATAAAGTTGCACTGTACTAAATGATTAACAAAGTCACTTGGAAAAATTATTAGGGACTGTGGTTTATACTATTGTGTATAGCTTGCTGAAATTAGGATCCTGCTATGAATTTGGAGCATTTAATGTGTCCTGTTAACCCTTATGCTTTGCTTCAGTTCTGTTTTTAGACTTGTGGTTGGTTCTACAACCCTAATCCTATTGCATGGTTTATGGAATGTCCCATCCGTCAATTATATTGACTCACTCTGGATACTCTGCCTTGACTCCAAGTGAGAATGGCGGAACATAAATAACATAAATAAAATGAAATAAAATAAATGCTCAAGAGACAGGGAAAAAGAATTCTTCCCCCTGCATAGACGGTGTAACCCATTTGTCCAGTTTTAACTCAGTCCACACTCCATGTCTTGCTGAAAAGAACTGGCACAGTTGGTCCATTTGCAAGGGCTCCTAGATTCCAGTGTGAAGGAGCAGTTAGCACAGCTGGTTGTCTGGGGTCACATGAGGTTTGAGCTTAATTACATGTAGAGTCAGAATCAATTTGAAACTGAGAGCAGGTTTGAGAGCACCTTGACAGGGAAAACTGTCTCTATGCCCTTGTCTCCTCCCTTCACCTGCACCAAGAAGACCCTCCTCTAGAGGTTTCGAGCATGTCTAGGTTTGCTTTTTAATCCTTCTTTCTCTTTAGCCATTTTCTGGTGTGGATTGCATGGCGTAATAGTGCATTCCTAAAATAAGGAAATGTAACTAGAGAAGTGAAAGTTACGCTACTTGATCAACAGCACCCCAACCTTCTGCAAGTCTTCTTCTCTCAATCTTCTTCTGATCTTTGTGGATGAATATCCAGCCTGGAGTCTTTACCTACCTCCTCCTCTGTGCCTGCTCCTAACTCCCACCACACCCCCTTGTGCAGTGGGTGGCTACCAACCACTCTAGCCCTGGCATGGCCCAGAGGGCTTTGTTTAAGAAATGCACCCACTGCAGGGCGAAGATGATTCAGACAGATGAGTGCGAGGTCTGTCTGTTCTGCTTGGGAGAAGGGCGCAATGTGGCTACTTGCAAAGCTTGCTAATGTTTCATGCCTAAGGCCAGAGGAGATCAGGCAACGAAGCTCAAAGCTGGACTTTGGGAAAAATCCCTTAAGGCCACTGATACTCCCTCAAATCTGACCTCGGCTTTGGAGCACCCACCCAAAACTTCATCCCCATCCTCCAAATCAGTCAGGTCAGTTCCATCAGTTCCGTGTTCCAGATCTCAGCTGAATTAGTCATGCTCTCAGTCCCCACTGGCTCAGAGATGCTGTTCTGAACGGCCAGCCAAAAAGCCTAAACTGAAAGCTAACACAAAGGAAAGCGTAAGTTGGATCCGAAGTATTGTACACCAGCCCAAGTACTGGATTTGATACTTGAGCCCCAAAAGGTTTTGGCTCCTCCAAAGACTCCATCACCAGGTCTGATTCACCACCACTTTCAGTATTGGTAAAAACTCTAGTTGAAAAGGAATAATTTCAGTATTGGTAAAAACTCTAGTTGAAAAGATCCCCTTGAGGTGTAGGCTGGATTTCTGAGCTAAAATCATAGAGGGGAAGGTGGAACTGCCAAAAGAGAGCATGACCCTTTGGGAGTGATTGGAGAAGTTCAATACTTCCACCATACTAAGGTCCAGAGGGTGTCTTATACATTTAAGCACGTTCCTGAGGTGCCAAATGGCCAGGTGTGTTCTGGAACGGTAAGTAATAACCTTTGCGGGGACAGGCACACTTTGTCTGTTTGTAAAGGTAGGCAGTAGAGATTCCTATGCTGTATGCCCCTCTGATTCAGCAGCTTCATCTGTGATTGAAGGCATTTTGTAGCTGAGTGAGAAAAATCCAGACTTCGAGATCGGTCGCCAGCCGGGGCTCGAGTAAAACTTGTTCTTGCATTTATTCCTTTTCCCTCAGACAGCCTTAGGACCCCCTGGGTCAATTTATCAAGGGCATTCTTGATCTTTTCCAATGAATTAAATATAGAAGCTACTGTTAAAGCAGTAAGCTCATGGTAATTTCTCACAGAAACAGCATCTGCTGGCAAAGTGGCAGCCAATGCCCGCTGAAGCTTCCATTCCTTCATACTCAGCTTCAGTGTCAGCCAAAAGGGAGTAACAATTTGGAACAGGAATGTTAAGCCTTTTTTGTTACCATTCTCAGCCCATTGACTTCAACAGACCAGGAAGGATGTACCTCTGGTTAGGATTTCACTATCTGTGAGTATTCCTTAGCGTGCCTTTCCTGATCAGCTCATTCAATTCTGTTTCCAGGGACTTTCCAGCAGCTTAATTAATTAATTAATTGTTTGAGGGTGATCCTAGCTTCCAAATTCAGAGGAAGGAAGGAATTTTTTTCTTATTATTCTGTTAGCTGAATAGAACTGTCTGTGTCTGGTAGAAAACATGCTGATTGAACTGGCATGCTGTTCCCATGACTTGTCCTCTTCCCTAACCAAGGCACATGACTTCCTGTGCCTTGAACTTATTGGAACGATTGCTGTACTGCATCTTTGCAGTAACATAAATGTATAAGTTTTGACTGAGGGAGATGAGATGGGCAGAGTAATGCATATCGAAGTGCTTTTTATATCCCCAGGGTGCTTTGATTGCAAGCACTACAGTGAAGAGAAAACTGTACGCTAACTACTGGCCACTGGGCTTGTCTGAATCTTAAATGCATACCAAAAAACACTGATCCAGAGTGCATCTAGTTCACTGCATCTAGTTCACTTCCATAGTTTCTGCATGCAGCATGTTATATAATGCATTATTTAGGCAAATTTATTAGGAATCTATAGGAATAGAAGACCTTGAGTGTTAGGTTTATTCTTTTCAGCCTATTACTTCAAATTGATTAGACTTTCCTCCTCCCTCCTCCTCTTTCAGCCCTCAGCTTTTTCAAGCCCTTTACCTTTTGCTTGTCCCTCAAATTTTGCTGCTGTCTCTGTGCATCTCTGAACACTTTCAAGATGGCAGAAGGGTCTAAGTAGCATTCCACCTTTCTAAGGCCACAGGCTTCAGTGGACTTAAACTAGGCATAACTCTCCTTAGGGCCTCACTGATGGTCGTCTTTTCTGCTGACTTTACTGCAGATCTTCACCACAGAAGCAGCTAGCCAACTCCAGCACTGCTTAGGGCTGAATCTCACATTATGTCTCCCATGTGGTAGGGCACTGGTGAGGCAGCAGTTTCCACCACAGTTTCTACCACATTCAGATGGACACACTGACAGTAACTTATTGGTTTTTACCAAGATATACTGTGATGAACTAATTATTAATGTAGTAAGATAGAATGC